ATGTATGCAAACAACGGTAGTAATGGCTGCCGCCAACGACGCGAATGAATCCCAAATTTCACGGTTGATAACTCCAAAACGGTGGATTTTATCAAATTTATCAAGCCAGATTCGAATGGAGCATGTACAATTACATATAACTAAGTATTCTGTAACTTTTTAATGCGAAGTGAGCACGGGTGTTACACTGTAAATTAACCCATATTTATAATAAAATACCCATTTAAAGTATGTATATAGTTCAAGCCATAAAATTGTGTTCAAAATATTTAGATTTCTGCATTAGATAAACCACAAAGGTTGATATGCCGCTAAACAAAATCAATCAACCATAAGATAACTTAATTATCCGGGACCACACTAGCATTGAGAAGCAACTCCCTCAGGTTTTGAAGGCAGGTTATATTTGGCGGTAAATGACCGATTGACAAGGTCTTAAATCGTAAATTCCAGGTCATCTTAAATTCAATGAATCTATATTAAAAAAAAAAATTCTAGTTTTTATAACCCTAAAATGCAATTGTGTGACAACTTCTAATCTGGATATTGGTTCCAATAAAGAATGTGTTATTATCAATTCGGCGTCTTTTTGTCGAAAAATGAATGAGTTAATTGCGTGTCCGTTGATGGAAACCGCGCTGCGTATCATAATGTTGACGGAAATCCTATCTTTCGTGGCCTGTACAATTTGTTCTCGTTTATTCGTAAATTGTACGAAACTTTGTAATTCGGTATTCTGAAATTGTCTTTAGTGATTAATCCAAAACTGTCCGTCCTGGGTATGACGATAAACTACATCCGCGTCCAGGGTAAGACGATAAAATACGTCCACCAGCAAGGCCTCTGATCGGAAGGCTTTGGAGAGCGTGGAACCACCTCTTAATTGCTGGTGTTCCCAGGTACACCCTGACCCGGGGTTGTAGCACCTGTTAGGGTCCCAGCTATGGACAAATATTTAACACCAAAACTGGGGTAAAAAGCATTATAAAAGTGTAAAAATAGGTTTTAATACCAGAAATACTTTGTAAAAAATTATTAGCAGAAATAAATTTTTGAAGAAAAAAAGAATTACCAGTAATACGTTTTTGAAAAAATAATATTACCAGTAATACGTTTTTGAAAAAATAATATTACCGGCAATACGTTTTTGATGAAAAAAATATTACCAGCTATATGTTTTTGATGAAAAAAATATTACCGGCTATTTGTTTTTGAGGGAAAAAATATTACCGGCTATACTTTTTTGATGAAAAAAATATTACCGGCTATACGTTTTTGAGGGGAAAAATATTACCGGCTATACGTTTTTGAGGGAAAAAATATTAGCAGCCATACGTTTTTGATGACAAAAATATTACCGGCTATACGTTTTTGAGGGAAAAAATATTACTGGCTATACGTTTTTGAGGGAAAAAATATTACCGGCTATACTTTTTTGAGGGAAAAAATATTACCGGCTATACGTTTTTGAGGGAAAAAATATTAAAAGAAATAGATTTTTGATAAAATATTACCAGGAAAAAAAAGTTGTCGGCATTAAATGACCCATTGAAGTTGATATGCCGTAAAGCAAACCAAACCAAAACACAATTGTAATTCTCTCTCTCTCTCTCTCTAACCGCAATATTAACTACCTGGTTCTCAAAACCGGATTAACCTTGTAACAAATGCTGCTGTTCCTATGTGCTATATATCTTCAGAATAATGGCTCTCCCCAATTTCCAATCCTTTGTAATCTTTAATAAAATTTGTCTTTTTGCTATCTCTCCTAATCATTGTTCTGACAAGATTTTATACAAGTTCGTTAGGTAGGGGTTATACACTATTTTCCTCTGTTGCTCTTACCTTCAATTTGCCATGTGAGTATCAACTTCTCCAAGCCCTCTTTCCTTATCAAGTGCCCTAGACATTTTCTCACGTGTTTAGTCCGTGGAATTCTTAGCACCTTTCTGCAGAACTACACCTCTGTTGTCTGAAGTCCTTTTTTCCATCTATGGAGACATAGTCAAGAATTATTACTGAATACAGCAAATATGTCACTTGGTCAAAAATGAGAATTGGTCATTTCTATTTGATCTTTAAGTTATCTAGTTACAATCATTTGATAATGTTTTTTTCCACCAAAACAACACATTTTATTTACCATTCTTACTGTAGTCACTATAATACCAGAAACTCTCTATGAAGCCCTAACTAGTATATATACCTATATGTATTTTTGTGTGTGTTAGATGGAGAATTATAATAATTCTTAAAAATCTAACTACGGTAGATTTATGGATAGCGGCTCGGATTGAGGAATTCGAGATCCGAGTTCGAATTCCAGTTGAATCCATTACCCTAATACCCTTGGGAAAGGTATGAATTCTCAACTTCTCCCCCCACACACACACACATCTGTGGGTAAATAGCAGGACAGACCTGGCTCTATAGCCTTGGATGGTAACTGGTCTACCACAGAAAGAAATGGCAAACTGCTGTGGGAAAAAATTTGCCACGTCAGTCATGTATCGAAATATACATGATCGTCTAAGCATGTATCACGCATGGCACATAACTGACTGACTGACAGAATATTATTTAGAGAGACCAGGAGAAATATAGTCTTAGTAATAAAAGGCACCCTCCATTTTAATCGTGGTACAAGTCTTGGTTAATTAGTAATCATTCCCTCTAATTAACAAACTCGTAATTACGCTCTCATTCAAGCACAAGAAGAAACACTGGCAATCAAAAGGCGCTTTAAAGTACCAAATGTTACAGAACCGTTATACATGGGAAATTACGGTATATATAACTAGAAGAAAAAAATGATATAATTAAATTGTTCACTTTCCACGCTGCTTTAAACAAAGGTTGTAAGGAATACTGGAAAGAACTATAACATTTAGTGGACTTAAGACGCCTAAATTTCTGTAAAACTCTTTTAATAAAGGATAGATTCTGTATTTCAACCAACACTAGACTTTCGATCAATGAATGCTGAATGTATCCTGTGTGGAAATGACTAATTTCACCATTGCGATTATTCGTATATATTTCACTGTCTTCTTCTTTGTCGCTGTCTGAATCAGTCGAACTATCATTATTTTTCTATATTTTGGTTGAGATCAAAATGGTCTTCGACTCCTTTCTGTCAGCTTCATTCTCATTTATCTGCCGTTGACGTACCATGTCATGACGATGCATTGTCGGAAAAGCTCATTTGTTATCGAGAGTTTTGCGCTGACATTGGCTTTTTTCCCCGGACAGGCGTGATGCTTTCCATTCACATCACTATCAGATCTGTCTGAGTCTACAAAGAGCAGCTAATGTTGCTTGGCATGTCGGCATCAGGATTAACACATACTGTCTGTGCTGATTCTGGGAGTGGTTAGCAACGAGGATCATGTCATGCCACCCACCGATTCTTCCTGTAGGGTCTAAGGTCACTGCCTACATGAAGTTGTTAGACGGTTATCTACTCTTATTCGCTCCCTCTCTCACTCCCGTTCCCTCTCTCTCCTTGACGTAAGAGTGATTAATCAGTAATTTTCACGATCCTGACACTCCTGGCGTAGCTTTCTTGTTTTGATAACCTTGGAAATACTAGGATGTGCAGATGGTGTACTAGACAGAGACTAGGTCGGCCGAGTTCGAATCCCAGTTGAATTCTTTGCGTTCACTTACGCGCAAATACGCTTTAGAGAGGTATGAATCTATCTCCTCCTCCAGCTATAGGTTAAATAATTGGATTTGCATCAGGAAAAATTAATATCTTCAAAAAATGTTAAGGAAATATTCTCTCACAAAAAAAGTATTATTCTTATAATCCAAAATATTTCGTCTTTAAATGAATGAGGGTTGATAAGAAAAATAAGTTAAAAAAAAATCAATCTATCTCCTATACTACAAAGTCTAGAGTGTCATGGAGAGGGAGACTAACTAGCGGCTCCACAGTACAAAGAACTCATTGGGGACCATCGTGAACGAAAACCACCTGATCCAAACATGCACTCCCTTTCGAGGCCGAGAATGGTTTTCAGTTCGACTTCTTATCGTACGACCTCGTCGTTAATGTTGCCACTTGGCTTGAAGTACAAAAGACAGTGGCCAAGCTCTGGATCAAGTGAATTATGTGTTTCAACGAGACTGTCCTTCTCCTACCTTATCTAGGAGTTGCTGACCTAGAATTTTCACTATCATGTCATCCCCGTAGCCTTCTGATTCTCCTGATTTGAATCTACTGGACGAATAGATTTCTCCTTGAAGTTAACTAAACAGCAGCCCTCAGGACTAGATACCCGCTGAAGGCCGCCATCGAGAAAGCTGATGGCTGACATGAATGAGAACCACTTGATCAGAACATGACGTCACTTCCAAGATTGCCGTGAAGCCGACCTCGATGTTGAAGATGGCTTTATTAAATAACCTTTTTTTCTGGTCTTTTAACTTTAACATCTGCAGTTTTTTAGCTGATCCCACGTGTACTGCATGGTTTTTATTATTTAGCTTATCATTTGGGTCTAGCACAACAACGGAGCTGTCTTTTCCATCGAAATTGTGCAATCATTTGTCTAGCTTGCTATGTTCATGGTGATTTTTTTTTAGGAAGAGACTACTTTGTTGATCCCGGTAAAATAGACAAATATACTCTTAACCTTATTTTACCTCCCTCGGTAAAATAGTCTGTGGTCTAATTTACCGGTATATATATTTATTATTATGAAGCTAGGTAATGGTAAAAATGACAACACACAGATTTAACATTGTTAATACAATATCTTTAGGTTATTTAAAGCGAGAAAATATTTTTTGGATTGTAAGAAATTTTGGACATAATAATGATTGACTGATACAAATTCTACTATTTAATACATAGCTTGAGGGGAACGGTGGAATCGTACCATTCCAAAGCTACTTGCCTGTAATGTAACGAACCCAACTTGAATTGGAATTCGGCTTTCCGATATTCAAATCTATATTATCTATTACACCAGCCACACACCCAAGTTTATAGTAGCTGGTATTCCCAAGAGGTCGCTCATCTAAGCTCTGACCAGGCTCGACGTTGCTTAACTTCGGTGATCGTACGAGAACCGGTGTTTCAACACTTTCCTGTTACTTCAAGTCGTCTCTTCATTTGTGAGAAAATTGTTCGGCATTAATTACCATTTAGAAGTCCAGACTGTTGTTGTTGCTAAGAAACTTTTTTGTTTTTTAGTTTTGTGCTCAGCTTTTGGAAGGTATCTTTTGCTATCCCAATGTGACTTCAGTGTCTTCAGTGTCAGGTTTTCTATCATTTGTAAAAGCACTTCTCAGGTATTTAAACTACTATACTATAATTATTTCTCTATATAAACTAAGTCAGAAACATATTTCTTCTATTTTCTTTAAGGTTGAATCAATAAATCGTCAGTGGTTATTAGCTAAATTTTGATCCGAGATTTTCACTGCATAATGGTAACTCTATACGCTCAAGAAAAAAGGAAGGAGATTATTTTGATAAATATTTGTAAAATCAATTTTTTTTCAATATAAGGCTAAAAACTTCATGATATACCTACCTATTCATATATTGATTGTAGTTCAAAACATTAGTTCAAAGTATTTTAGAAGTATCGGAATTTAGTAACAATACCACGGAGAATTTACTTATATCGCTCCTAATGATGTATTTAGGGCCAGGAGTGTCGTGTTTGTGCAAATTAAATGTGTCCCAACCTTGAAAGCTCTTTTTTATATTTAACTTTTCATTTTATTTATTTATTCATTGTCTTTCTTTTCTTACAATAGATTGTCGTCTGTTGTTTTATTTCTCTTCTTCATATGCGTGTCTGAAACTCATTTGCAGAAAACTAAAAAGACATGATGTGCTTCCAATACCCGCCATTTTCTATCAATTAACCTCAATGCAGACAAAGAATTAATCTGACCCGTGAATAGAGCATAACACTTCAATTAAAGGTAATTATTCCCTTCGGTTAATTATTTTAAAAAAATCGATTTAGAGAAATTATTTGCATCTTATCACCTTGTCAAAATTATTCATTCTCCCTCTTTGCTTTTCTTTGTCACTCTCACCCGGTATTTTCGTTTCCTCTCAATTTTTTCTTTCTCTCTTCCTACTTCTATTTCTCTTTTTCTGTGTGTCTCTTTCTCACTTTTCGTTCTCTCATTTTCTCTCGTTCTTTCTCAAATTCTTTCTTTTTCTTCACATGTTTGCTTCTTTATTCCCACTTGTCCGATTCTTAGATATTCTTTGTCCTGTTTGCGCATCACGGCAAAAGTAGAGCATCTAAATTAGTCACATATTTAGGAGTGGACTCTTTTATAAGTCGATTTAATAATCCCCAAACAGTTTCACACATTCTGGTATGTTTTAAGGAAAACGTTTACAAGAGACGAAATATTAAATTCTCTTTTTATGTAGACGCACACCAAAATAAATACGGCATTGTTGACTGACATCTTAAATTTAATAAAATAGTCATTAACAATTACTTGGATTATTGTAAAACAAAATAAATAACCGCATACTCACTTCACAATGCCTCATACTCTAGGAGAGCTAGAATTCAGATTTCACGATTAAGGCTTTTAAAAAATTTCACAAAGCATTTTCTTGAAAAACTAAAATGACATCTTCTCAACCGTTTTTAGTAAAATTCCTTAAAATGATTTTTTATTTTTATACTCCCGAAATGAAAAAAAAGTCTCTTTTTGTGCGAGAGAAAATAAAGATTCCATTTAGAGAAACATAACTGTCCTCCTGATTACTCTTTTCTCTTCCTGGTCATTAGTAATATTTATGTTCCTAATTCTTCCACATCTTGTAACCCCTTGTGTCTTAGGGGCTTTACTATCTGGCATGGGGTGAAACCGATAAAAAAATAACTAGTCACATCTCGTCTTACGAACATTTTCTTTTAATAACAATTTTGATTTTATTTATTTTAACAGTATTGCTTTCCTAGGTTTCCGTCTTTCGATACTGTGCATTTGAAAAATGTCGCTTTTATCGCAGTCGACAATGCTTCTTGGTCTTTTGGTTGAGATAAAGTGTATTATCTGCTCTCGAGAGGATGAATTAGATTTCCAGTAATCCTTTGTGTCTTCATGGATTTACCACCTTGCATGGAGTGAAACCTACCAAAAAAATTATCTTCGTGCGAACGTTAATTTTTTTACAACACCGACTTAGCGTCGACCTTTTATTGCCATGGCGTACTGTGGCCCTCAAAAATCATAATATAGTCAGTCAGTTATGTGCCATGCTTGATACACGCTTAGACGATCATTTATCTTTCGATACATGACTGACGAGGCAGATTTTTTTCGCCGGCAGTAGATTTCAATTTCTTTCTGCGGTAGACGAGTTGGTATCCAAGGCTATAGAACCCGGTCTGTCCTGCTATTTAATTTACCCATAGCTGGGGGAGAAGAGGATTCATACCCTTTCCCAAGGGTATTAGCACGTAAGTGAATACAACGGATTTGACTGGAATTCGAACACTGCTCTCTGATATAATAATATAGTAATGGTTATATTCTATCACTGTAAATTTATCAAAAAATGAGTATTGTCTGCAACTTTAAGAAGGCGTTACATATAAATTAATAACATTGCCGTCATTAGTTTGGTACGGTCGTTAAGATAACTGAAAACCTCTTTTCCCTGGACATGAATGACGCCAATATGTCGGCAATTAAATATTATAAACAAACATATTATCCAGCTTCATCCACTCATTCTAGATGTAGTCACAGTTCAGCCAAGTCTTAGCAACATTGATTTGTGAATTATTCAAAGCCGAAACAATGTTGGATTTTTCGAGTGAATATTTTTTTTTTAAATAAGAATGAGTTTTCCAGATACAGTCCATATATTTAACCCATAGCTGGAGGGAGGAAATAGATTCATATTTTTCCGTAAGTCAATGTAACGAACCCGACTGGAATTCGAACTCCAATTTCTCATCCCGGAGAGCTATCCATTACGCCTTCCGCACATCCGGTCATACAACAATATAGTTATTCATAAACACTAGTCTCCTCTCAATAATTGATTAATTGCAGTGAAATGAATCTACGAATATCGAGCTTCGTAAGAATCTGCAATCCCGGCTTGCCGATGATTTGAACCCCCGTATCGATGATTGTAAGTAAACATTCATCAACGAATGTCAACTTTCTTCAAGATGGATGCCTTTTCGTTTATTGAACGTTGTAAATATTAATGAAATTGCACGTCAGCGTTGCCAAGTAACAACAGCAGCATCAGGCCAATCGTTCGTTCAATTGCGTTTTGCTTTCTGTTTTCTTAGCGAGTTTCCATTAATTAATATCTGACAGGAAAATAATCAATAATCGCCTCTCACCAAAACACCCTTCAATTTCCCTATCTCTCGCTTTCCTTTTCTCTTTTCTCTCTCTTTTCTTTTCCTTCTTTCTCCTGTTGTTCTTTGTCTCTCGCTCTCTCTCTCTCTATCTCTCACTCTCAGTCTGCTCTTTGTCTGTCTCCCTCACTCTCAGTCTGCTCTTTGTCTCTCTCTCTGTCTGATATTTGCCTCTCTCTCTCTCTCTCTCTCTCTCTGCTATTTGTCTCTCTCTCTCTCTGCTATTTGTCTCTCTCACTCTCAGTCTGCTCTTTGTCTGTCTCTCTCACTCTCAGTCTGCTCTTTGTCTGTCTCTCTCTCTCTGTCTGATATTTGCCTGTCTCTCTCTCTCTCTCAGTCTGCTATTTGTCTCTCTCTCTCAGTCTGCTATTTGTCTCTCTCTCTCAGTCTGCTCTTTGTCTCTCTCTCTCAGTCTGCTCTTTGTCTCTCTCTCAGTCTGCTCTTTGTCTGTCTGTGTGTGTCTCTCTCTCCGTTTGCTCTTTGTCTGTCTCTCAGTCTACTCTTTGTCTCTCTCTCTCTCTCTCTCTCTCTCTCAGTCTGCTCTTTGTCTGTTTTCTCTCTCTCTCTCTCTCTGTGTCTGCTCTCTATCTCTATCTCTCAGTCTGCTCTCTCTCTCAGTCTGCTCTTTATCTCTATCTGTCTGCTCTTTGTCTCTCTCTCTCTCTCTCTCTCGGTCTTTTTCTCTCTGTGTGTCCCCTTGTCTTTCTCTCTCTGTATGTCTCTGGCTCCTCTTTGTCTATGTCTTTCTCTCTCTCTCTCTCTCTCTCTCTCTCTCTCTCTCTCTCTCTCTCTCTCTAATTATAAAATTCTTTCAGGTCCTTATTCGTTGCTTTTTTGTCGCCCTAGTTCTCCTGTTGTCCAATTCATTAATTTCCTGGATTCGATTTTCTCGTGTCCTCTATTTTCTTGGCCTTGTGCCAGATTATGCTAACCTTAATAAATAACTTTTCATTCCATTTTTCCTTGTCTTGAATCTCTTTTTTTTTCATTTTCTTCTAATTTGCTTTTCCCTTTTTTTCCAGTTTCTCTTTCATCGTTTATGTCCTTTTCTATTTCTTATTCTCAATCTTCAGCTTAAACCAAACTTCTTCGTCTTTCCTTATTTAAACTTTCAATGATCTCTCCGTTTAAAATGCGCATGCGCTGGTGGAATGTTAGATAAACGAACAGCGAGATAAACAGATGAGCAGTAAATAGATTCTTTTATCAGCCAACGTCATTTCTTAGGATCTATTATTTATATAAATCTTCCCGTTTTAAGCAATTAATTAATTTAAAAATTACCTTTTCGTGCCTAAAAGGTCAACGAAGCTAGCATGTATAGATTTCGAAATGTCCCGACGAAAGATGTGCATTTCTTAAATGGGGTAACTGTCTTGCTTTGATGTCATGGCTCCTTTATAGGTTAACAGTAAACAATACCCGGCATAAAAGTAATTTCCCAGGTTAGAGAGAAGCCATACGTTAAACACTAATCCCCGTACGATAACCGAAGTTAAGCAACATCGAATGTGGTCAGTACCTAGATGGGTGACCGCTTGAGAATACCCACGTACTGTAAGCCTGGATGTGCGGCTGGGGTAATGAATAATGGCTCGAAATTACATGTGCAAATACTCTTAGGAAAAGGTATGAATCCACTTCATCTCCTCCAGCTGTGGGTTAATTAGTAAGATTTAACCATTATCTCAAAAAAATATATTACAATCTAAAAA